AATTTAGTTTAAATTTGTTTTTAATTTATTTTGATTAATTTGATTTTTTCCATTTTAATTTCATTTATATAATTCTCTTTTAATTTATTTTTCTCTATTTATTTAATTTTGATTTTATTTTAATTCTTCTTTCTTTTTTTTAAATAAATTATAATTGAGTTATATAAAATTTTAACTTAGTTTAATTAAAATAAATATGTTAGTATATTTATTTATTTTATTATTCTATCTTATTTTAATTTCATTAATTTTATATAGCTTTACATATTTGTTTTGATTTATTCATTTTATTTTATTTTATTTTATTTTATTTTATTTTATTTTATTTTATTTTATTTTATTTTATTTTATTTTATTTTATTTTATTTTATTTTATTTTATTTTATTTTATTTTAGTAGAGACCAGTCTCAAAAGTTTGCTCACCTTCAAAGGGCGGTACATTGTTGTTGTGGCTTGTAACTTAGCACCTGTTGTTGTTTGTTAAGTTTGTTTACAGAATTGTTGACTTTGTGGTGCTCAAAATTCGTTTTGGGAAAATTATTTACATACACGTATTTATAGAATGAAAGAATTTAACCCCGTAGAAGTTTCATAGTTAAAATTATTTTTAAAATATTTTAAAAATTATATATTTTATGTCTAAATTTTTTTCGTCGTATATTTTGTTGCTGATTGGATTTTTTTTTTGCAAGCACAAACAGTTTTTTTTAACAATTTTCTGCACTCACTAGATTCTTATGCTACGTACAGTACGTTTCAAGGGAGCGTTGTGCGCCTTAAAGTATACTACTTATTGTGTTTTTTACGCTTTTCAGTTCCTTACTGTCCTTTCGCTTTCAGCGCTATTTGTACGTATAAATACAGATTGTTGTCATTCCAGTACGTAAACATACACACACGTTTCTCAGTAGCAGCAGAAGCGACGTCGCCACGCTAGCTAAGCTTACGCGCTTACTTTTCGCACTTTTTGGCTATTTACTTGACTATTTTCCAACGTTCTTCTATGAGTGTGTGGAATTTTATGCAGTTCTTACATTTAAATAACAAAATATTTTACAAGAATCGCTTGTGCGTACACTTTTGTGCTTTAATTAAATATTTCTGTGTATATTACCTGTGCGCTGCATACTTTCAGGCGTGCACAATGATTTTTCGCACTTTTCCGTTGATGATTGTTGCGACAGCATGGCGTGGCTGCTATCTACGCAAGTACACACACACACACACACACTTATACAGCTGCTGCGGGGCGCTTAGTGCTCACTCTTGCTCAGCAGGTAAATAAGACAAACCAAATTGATCACAAGGAAAGAAATAACTTCAAAGCACATAAGAAACGCAAAATCGTTTTCTTTAGTAAATATCTCCGCCAACGGCGGGAAGTAATATTTAAGATTCAAATACTTCATGTTTTCATTTAGAAACCTCTTTGAAAACTTTTATCATTTGTTTAGCTCTACAATTTATAATTTTGGATCTGAATTTCACTTTCCGTTTTACTATTTGGCTTATCACCGACGCGTCACGATTGCGTTTTCAACATAAACTAAAATTTCGTTTGCTTGCGCTGCGCCAGGAAAGTGTGTTAATGGTGCCAAGAGCAGCAGCAGTCAGAAGTTGAAGAGCAGCGCGCGAATCGGCAGACGAAGTGACGAGAGAGGAATATCGCGCGATAGCAGATTTGGTTAACGTCAGCGCTGGCGTTAACCACAAAAGCATGTTAAGTAAACACAAACGCTCTGTAGAAGGACACGCTCACGCTCACATATATACAAACGTGAGTGATTACACATTTATACGTAGCACACAAATACATGCGCAGCAAAGTGCAGCGTCGAGCAACAGTCCTGTGGATGGTTGACGCCTACACACAGCGCGCGTCATGCCAAAGTGTGCGCGCGCTCTCCGCGAATGGCAACATTCGAGAGCGTAATGAGTGTAAGTACTGAGTATGTTTACGCCTTCTCCACAGTTGTCAAACTCTGAAAATTGGGAGTGCGCGCTCACGTCTTCTCAACAACTGTCATTACACTTGGCACCTTGCATAGTCAGAGCTTCTGGTTAAGCGTGCTTATTATGCTGACTACATTACAATATAAAGAAGGCTCTTCCAAATATCATTGGGGTTTTCGACGCTTGACATATTGGTGTTAAGTCTTCTGCATCAAATCACTTCCGAGCAGTATTTCACGCTTAGCGCGCTCATTGCTTACTCTCTTCATCATATGCTTTTAAATTGTTAATGAATTGACTGAGGACGCGTGTGCCTTGCTGTCAAGTGCATTCTTCAACTGTCATTGAGCAGCTGTTGGTGCTCAGTCTTACACTTTTCCATCAAAATATTTGCCCGCCGTCAACTGCTGCGAGCTTTCTATAGAGATTCATACATTCCATATCGCACACTCACACCAATCTAAGTTGCATGCCATTCATGGTAATCCATGTGAGCTCTCTTCCTTCCGCTCTCTCATCAATCTATATTCCTTTTCGTTGTTTCGCCTTCAATTCAGTTGTCATTTAGTCGCGCCTTTTTCCTTGTCAAACATATGTATTTCTCGTTTTTTATTAGAACACATGCGCACTCCCAACGTGAGAAACCTTCAAATAACTTAGGGAGAGGAATTCCATTCAAAAAATAAGAAGTCAAAGCTCAGCAGCTAGGTGTTAAGCTCGGTGAGCGGAAATTATTGTCATTAAGTCAAAATATCCCCCTGTTAAAGCGCATACAACTAAAGCTTTCAAAGCTTGAAAGCCTAAGCCCTAAAAGCTTTACTTCATCAAGGAGAAGGGTTTGATGAAAATAACAAAATGGTCAAGGAGATGTGCGGAATGTAATTTAGATAACTTTGATTAGTTGGGCTTATTTTCATCGGCTTAAATTCGGAATAAGTAAACCGAAATGATAATTAAATCTAACAAATTTTGAAGAAATAAAATTTAAAACAGAGGAAGTTCAAGCCAGTGAGGGAAGCTGTGGACTGCTACTCATCAGGGAGTAACTGGAAATGATTATTTTCTTTTTCCACAAGACTGACGGCCTTCTAGGTGGCCAAAAAACTTCCGTATATAGGCGTGCTAAAGAGGGAAGTCGAGCTCTCCGAGGTTTTGCGTAGAGTGTTGGACTCGCCACAGAAAAAATTTATCCAAATGAAAAATCACGAAATTTAGAATCCTCACGTGCCTGAAAGCTCACCTAAGCCCTGCAAACATTTCCTACGAATCTTTTATTCAGAGTTCCATAAACTCCACATCGACTTCTTTAACCTCAAACTGGGAGCAACAAACTTTCTTATCCAAATTAACTGCGGCGTGGATTCCAAGAGCCTCTGAACTAGATCTTCCCGAACCAAGAAATATCAGTGCCCAAAAAAAGCATATTATTTCAAATGAATTGGGCCTATTTTTGTTCAATAAGAACTCTGATATGAATGTTAGCGAGCGTAGTAATTCCACTTAATTCAAACCCACGAAACTCTACGGACGCTGAGAAAGCAGAAGTTCCTATAATCTTCATATAATTACGCGATTTCGAAATATGAGAACGAGTAGAGAATTCTCACGAAGTTACCGAAGAAGCCGGAAGTAAAAGAGACACGGGCTTGGATATAATAAATAGCAGAGTGAGCCTTAAAGCTGAGGTTCATCAATGCTGATATACCTAACCGAGCGAGCTTGGAGTACATGGCGGAAAGCAGTATTTAAAAGTATTAACTGTTGTAACTCTCTGAGACCAGAGTAACAGTAAAGCATAAGTTGTATTACCCTTTTTTCTAAAAGGTCCCCTCTTGACGGAGATCGTGGATACCTCCGAGTGGAATTCTGGCATACAAAAAAATCTGCGCACAAAATTCCATCAGACGTTCAGAGACCGTCTCGAATTGTATAGAGGAGCGGTTGCAACAGTTTTGAAAGTGAAATTTAGTATCCATTAAAATGCAAAAGTGGAGAAAATAAAAAGATCCCAGAAAAAAACAATAACCTGGGGCAGTGTTGCCCTAAAAAAGTGCTAGTAAAGCTGCTGCAGGCATCTGAGGGTAAAATAAATTCACTTTCCTTTGCACTTTCCCATACTACACCCTTTAAATTCATGTTGCTCGCCTGCCACACGCCACACGCCGCACGCCACACGGCGCACTTGTCACTTGTATGAGTTGCATAATCGTTTTTGCTTTAGTCGCTGTTGCTGCTTGTGTGCAACAGTGTTGAGTGATTGTAAATATACATTTGTATGTACGTACTTACACGTATATACATACAAACATTTGAGCAAGTGAATGCTTCAATGCGGCAAATGAGTTGTTGTCAATGTTAATTGCTCTGTTGCCAACTGGTAAACTGTTAATTAACGCCTCGCTCAGTTATTTGTTTGTTTCTTTGTCTGTTTGCTTGTTTATTATACCAGCAACAACAATACCTACTACCACAGCAACAAGTGCTTGTGTGCTCCTCGTGTTAATTGCCACGCTGGCGTAGATTGCTCATTCCTCATTACTTTGTGATTGCTTCTCACGAGCGTGGAATGAAATGTGTGCGCCATAAAGCGTAATGTTGCAGAATTTCGAAAGGACTTAATGTTGCTGCAACATTCTGTATATTTTGTCATTAGGTAAGACCTTGAGAGAGATTAGCAAAACGCCCCATTGGGCTGTGTTTAAAAAAGTTTGAAGTGGTGAGTTTAAGTGTGGTGGAATTGGGTATGGTATTCTGACAGTTCAGATAATTTTTTTTTTGGGTGAAAGGGGGGAGATTGGTGACCGAGAGGTTGTAATTTAGAAAAGAGTCGCCTACATGGATCTCAAATGGGCTCTTAGTTGAGGACGCCTTTGCGAAGGCCATCTTAATAAAAAGTAACGAAGAATGAGTGGTTGGTTCCTTCCACAGGATGCCGTAATAAATCTCCCAAGATTTATTGCTTTTTCATACCTTTCATACCCGAAACCCCCTTGAACTATGCACCGGCTTTTACGTTAGAGTTATAAAACCAAAAATGCGTACTCACCCGTCTGAGTGCTCGAATCGAAGAAAGTGCTGGTCGTCTCTACCGTCATGGTACCGATAGTGCCATCAATGATCTGAGCACTAGAATCTCGCCGACCACGATAACTGTAAGAAGCAGACAAACATTAGTATCTCAATTAGGCGTCAGCCGAAAGTTCAGTCTCATTTACTTACCGACACACATCGTCACTTTGCGAGCTCTGCCGCCGAAAATTCCTGCAACGTATCATCTCTTCGGTGGTCGATTGCCGCCGAAAGCCACGTGCTATCAAAATCTCCTCAGTCGTAGATTGTCTACGTATAGCTGGACGCGAGCTCGGTTCCGCCGACGGCAATGGGGGTGGCCGCGAGCAAGGACTTGGATCACGCGACGAGCAACAGCTATTCGAATCGGGAGAACGTGAGCTGCGCGCAGCCGAAGAGCTCTGCCGGCGCAGCGTCTGCCGCCGTGGACTGCTATCACGATCGTGACTACGATCGGGTGAGAGATGTGCACGTGAATCACGTCGTCCGCCACGTGATGCGCTATCCGGACTCAACGAATCACGACGCGACGTGCGCGCACCCGGACAATCCTCCGGCGGATCGGGGCTAAGCGCCGGCTGTGAGCCACGTCGACTGCCGCCAGGCAGGCAGCTCTCATCGAAAGCCGTTGCTTGACGCTGTAGACGTTGCAAGCGTGGTGCGCGCTCCGGTGAAATGCCCGCCTTTGAATCACGACGATTAACACGTCCACATTGGGTAGTCGAGTCGCGGCGGCCCTTCAACGGTGCGGTCGGACTGGTAGCCGGCGGTGTAACCGAGCTGGTGATGATAGTCGGCGGCGGTAGTGCTTGACAAGCTGAATCAACCTGATTATAGTTGGTGGTAGAGATTAACGGTACTGAATCAGAACCAGCTGAACTTGTAGAGGGGCGTTGCTCTTGACGGAAGTTGGGAAAATCGGGTGCGGCTAATGAATCGCGTTTTTTAGCAGCTGCGCCACTAATCTTGGGTGGCGGTGGAGGTGTGGTGGCACGGCCAATGTTGCTGTCGCGACGACTCGAGAGATAACTTTCGCCCGAGCCGCGACGCGAGCTCTGCAATAAGGCGATTGCACAAGGTAATGCACAAACATACACATTGGGGAGAGAGGGGAGCAAGGAAAGTGGAAGTGAAAAAACGTGGAGTAGTAGTGAATATTGTGTACAGAGTAGAGCAAAAATAGCGGAAAATGGCTGCTGCAATATTTAGCTTATACTTACGCTACGTCCGGCTCCCTCCACAACAACCGGCACTAACACAGCAGGCTCCTCGGCAGCCGTGCTCTCGCGCCGATTCCAATGCTTTACAAACTCTGCAGTGTTTGAGTCACGACGTGAACGCATGCTCCTTATGCCAGAATCGGCGCTGGATTCGCGACGCTTGCGTGGTGTTATGTAGGTAGTGCCCGTACCGGCGCCGGTTGATGCGTCTGTGGTTGAGGTGCGCCATGGCAGGCTGCGCGCCAGGTCAGCTAAGGTTTCGCGACGATTGAGTTGTGCTTTCTGCCGTTGGCTTTGGGTTTGCTGCTTGGCTGCCCCACCACCGCTCCACTCGCGTAGTATGTCGGTGAGTTGCGCGAGTGAGCTGCGTCGACGGCGCTGAAGGCCTGCAGGAATAGAAAAGGAGAAATTGAAATTTTAGTTGAAGACAATTTTGAGAGTCTCTGCGGCACGTGCTCACTCACCTGGTGGCGGTGATGTGCTAGGTGGCGTTGTTATCTGCGCTGCTGAGTCGCGTCGACCGCCCAAACGCTGTCGTATGGTGGACTCCTCCAGCTGTGACATAGGTAGGGCGAAAGTTTTTGTATGAGGAGTGATAGAATTAATGGGAGATTTGCTCCAGAACTCACCTGCTCTCTGACCATATCGTCCCAGCCATTCCCGCCCTGCCACACCAAGCCCACTTGATGTGATAAAATGGGCAAGTTGCAGACAAAGCATATCGCTGTCATAGTCCTAAAATAGTCAAAAATGAAAACGGAAGAGAAATGTAATTTATGAAATGTGAAGTGAGCGAAAGCGTTTATGTGAATATGTATTTTCGTAAAGGTTTTTTTCAAGAAATATGAATGTAAGATGAAGGAAGTAAAGTAAAAAACATGCAAATTTTGAATTTTTTAATATAATTTTTTGATACAAATTTTTTCTAGAAAATTACTAAAAAGTTAATAAAAAATGCTAAATTAATTTAAAAATAGAAATCTGTTGAAAATTTATTCAAACCGACTCAAAAGCTTTCACTTATGCATGGGGATATTCATATTAAACAAACTTTTTGAGATAAATTTGAAAATGCAAAGAGGAGCTGCGAAAATAATATCTTCAAACGGTTAACTTCTTTTCCAATTCCATTGAGCTTTACATATTTTCTAATTTAAGAAATAAAAGTTAAATGCATGATGTGCTTTCTAAAAGAAACTCAATTTTTCTACTACAAATAATTCACAACAGATTTGCCTTAACGTACCGCTCGGGTCCGCATGAAGAACACGACTCTTTACTGCTCCCTTTCCGGCTATTCAATTTTGCTAGTGCATGAACTGCGAGAAATATCTCTTTCAGAACATTTGAAGTCACTGAGTGAGTTGAGAATTTGTCCACAGTACTTCACCTGAGCGAATACTACAGGATTACTTAAGGCTCACTTAAGGATTCATTAGCTCTAGTGAAAATGTGGTTAAGTTAGCTTTATGTAGGCTCTATAAGGTTTTGAACCCTTTTAGGCAGATTTGCAATTTTTTCATTTCAAATTAACGATTCAAAAAAGAGGAAAGCTCAAGAATTTTAGTGAGAAAATTGGAAATTATCATCTCCATTAAAAATTGACAAACGTTAAAAAATACATAAAATTCGCCTAATTTTGAAATATAATTCTCACAATGAATAAGATAAACTCATAACCCACTTGTTCAGTAATATTTCTTTATTTCATACACTTTCTTCGGCTCTCTTTGGTGGGAGTGCAAGCTGCAGTGGCAGGAGGGAGCTTTGCTAAATAGCTTTAGCATGGTTGCGCACCTAAAAAAGCTTTATCGAGAATACAGGTGAGGTACAACCAGACATGAAAGACTCTCTCGAGTTTTATGGCAAGGCGAAATAAAAAAAATTAAATAAACAAATAAATAAAAAATATTAGCAGTTGTTTATAAATATAAACTTTTATATTTATATGCAGAAAGTAATATTAATTTTATTTGCTTTATAAACGAGGCAGCCCTGTTCGGGGTATTTCTAAACTTAATAACAATTCGAATAAGAAATTTATTTTACATTCATTTTTTGGGAAAACTACCTAAAAAAGATTAAAATAATTTGTTAGTTGAAAACCATAAAAAAACAGAGAGCCATAAACTGCAAAACAGAGTGTAAAAAGCACGCAAATACATAAATACTCACATAGCAAATAATCGCTAAAGCTTTCTCAGAAATTAATAAAAAGCTCTTCAAGTTTTTATAGCAAAGGGATAAAGGTAAGCTTCTGAAAGATTTCTTGCAGTGACTTTATAGTAAAACATAAAAAACCGAAAGCTTAAGAAGCGTGCAAAAAGCTTAGGAGTTAGCAGGAAAAATAAGAAAAATGTGCAGAATAAAGAAATTTAGCAAAAATACTGTGCAGTAAAGAAAATGCTAAGTAAAAATAATAAAAACTGGCATATATTTAATTGGATAGTATTATTAACGATTTTTTATATATATGTATGTATGTATTGCCATTCAGCCAACTAACTTTTTCCGGATACTGGTCGAGACGCATGGCTGATCTATGGACCTGTAATGCCGCAGTTTTGACATGGCGCATAGCTGTGGCGACAGTGGTGACGTCGACGGCGTTGACGTTGACGGCGACAGCGACAGCAATATAGGTTGGCAGCGCGGACTAATTTTGAATGATTTTCTCGCTTTCGCTAATTTTACGTTTTTTATTTATTTATTTTATTTTTTTAACAGCAACAAAATAAACGTCAAGCGGTTAACAGCGTGGAATGGGAGTTGTGGCGGGTTGTGGAGATGTGGTGAGCAAAATAAATATAGAAGCGCACTTAAAGGTAGGATACTTTTCAACCTGCCTGCTCTTGTATGGCTTACAGCGAGTGTCCCTTTTTGTGGTTCTTCGTAAGCAGTAGGGGCAGGCGGTAAGGGCTGCTGGCCAGATCCGCGCTGTTGTTGTTCTTCTCAGTAATTATATGGAGGAGCTTAGTAATATTTTCTTCTCTCTGTCTACCACTCTTTTCACATTAAAAATATACACAAAAACACACACACAAACACATTGAGGGTTTGGCAAAGTGGTTTTTTGGATTGCACTGGGGTTTTTGGGTATTTTTTTTTTAATTTGTTTTATTTTTTGGAGTTGCTTGTCTACTACACACAGAGAAAAACTGGAATAAAAGAAAAAAAGATTCGAAAAACAAATTATGAGGGGAACATATTTTTAAATATATTTTTTCTTCATATTAAGATATTTTTAGGGATACACTGAAAATAGTTACACTTAGTTTGTATAAAATAGTTAAACTACATTTTATTTTGACAGTGGGAGCGGGGGGCTATACAGGGGACGCTACACAGTAAATAATTAATCGTTTTTTTTTGCGATAAAAGAGGCATGCTTATAGGCGCAGATTATGTTACTCATAAATAGTTTATTGCGAAATACTTTATAATTAAATGTATATGTATGTATGTATATAAATTTATCTAATACTTAATAATTATATATTAATAAACTCATTGATATTATGTTTTGACTTAAATGTCTTAAAATTAGTGAAAATTGTTCATCCTTAAAGGATGCACAGGGTTTTTCCATCTATCTTTAACTCTACGCGAGTTAAAATTAACGTCATATAATATATGGTATAATAAAAAATAATATTTTTTTTGTCATAATTCATTTTTTATCTTAAAATTTCCAATATGATAAAGTCAAGTGTATTGATAAATTTCTCTTAATACAATTTATTATTTTTTTATTGTTTTTTTTTAACCTAAAACCGTTTTAGTGCCCAAAAATAAATAAAATTAAATAATAAACCTTAAAGTTATTCTTTTTTGATATTGGTATTGTGTAAAAAACCACTTTTGTAACCATCGACTTTTTTTATATATAAAAAGTATAATTTCTAGTTTTGAAATTGGTTTTATATATTTGCTGCAGGGTACTCGTTGTTGATACCAGGTAAGAAAGAAATTATAAAAGCTTGTATAATACTGAAATCGACGAAGTTCCAAATTTGTTCTTCTTTCTTGCTTTTACTAGAAATAGTTTATTCTAAATACACATAAAAACTTTCAAAATTGTTTGTGAAATCATCGAAATCTATTCATTTTATGAATAGTTCCAAAACCTTCAAATGATTGATTAAAAATTAAAATTAAACTAAAACAAATTACTCGTTAAAATTATATGACTTTAATATTTTTGAATCCTTCATATCATTACGCACATCCCTCATCCTCTCTCCATCTCAGAGTTATACCTCAAGAGGCTATTCATTCGCCCACCTTTACCGCCGCCAGACGCTCAATGGGCAATTTAAAACCATTGTGTGGCTGAAAACAACAGGTTGCCTTGCAGAAACGGCAAAAATAATGCTTACTCACTTACACATATAATATATACAATCATACATTTTTAACTATACTCGAAAGAGGCGCTCGCCCACGCAATGCCACAACTGAACATATTTGATTTGTTATAATTTGTATAAATGTCTAAGTACATACATTTAGAATTACACAAACATATACATATGTATGAGTAGATATGTAGGTATCGAAGAATGTATGCCATCGAAAGTGCTTAGAGCGCAGTTGAAGGCCTAAATATCAGACGCCGTGAAGTAGGCTACGTTTTGAAGTGTTTTTATGCGGCTGTCGCACTTTTCGAGAGAAAAAAGCGCCTTCCATGCTCTTTGTTTGCATGAATGAGCATTTGTCTGTATGTAAATATTATTTTAGCCTACTTATAGAGGCGCACACACATACATGCATCTGTATTTACAAAATACAAAAGGGCGTCTACTCATTATGCTTATGAACAAGCAGCGATTCTCACTTGGCAGCGGCGCTTAGTGGGTTGCCTTGGCCGACGCTGAGGTCTAAAGTGATTTGCCGCAAACTGCTAGTGACTGGGTGTGGGTGCGTGTGTGCGTGTGACGAAAGGTGGTGGTTCTATCCAGCTGCTCGCTGCTGAAGTATAATTCAAGGTACATCTACATGTATATATATATATGTATGAGTGTGTTTGTCAGCATGTTCTCCGTAAAACTGGGGCAAAATGATAATTTGCTGTCCATTAGCAAATAAAGAAGGGAGAGCAAAGCAGAAAAATAGAAATCAAACAGCTACACAAGCCATAAATAAACATAATGAATAAAGCAGCAAGAATTCCAAACAAAATTTCATCCGCGCGGACATACTTATTATGATTTGCCCGCCTGCTAATAATGCTCTGCCTGCTGCGCAGCTTTGTTACGGAAGTTTTTGAATTTGAAAATTCTTTCTTCCTTACTTTTCTCTGACTCCGTTGACATTGGACACTGTATGGCAAATGCGTTGCGACGAGATTAATTTCATGTGTATGTAATGGTTGGGAGGATAGCAGATTTTCTGTTACATACTTTTCGGCTAAAAGGGGCGCAGTTACGGGCAAGGCCTTAAATAAGTTTAATTTACTTTAATATTCGCTTAATTATGATGGATATTTGCGTTATTAGTTGGAAAGTTTAAATTATTGCATACTTTTGGGCACTACTGACGTTAAATGCAGTCAAGATGTGCTGTGTGATGAATTTAATGGAAAATTTTCCCCCAGTTTATTGGTAAATTCTAATATATCTTACTAAAAAGTTTGTGTTTATTGCTCGAATTAATTACTCTCAGAGAACTTTGGCATAATTCCAAGCGCATTAGGAGCAGGAAAGCATTTTGTTAAAATTAATATGAATAATCTTAACTAAAAATTTTTGGGTACTAATTTATGGGCCGAAGGGAGTATAAAGTAAAAATTTGAGAAACGAAAATTCGTAATTAAAATAGTTTTTCCAATATTTTACAATACTTGAATGCAGCATATGAGTAGGCCAATTTGTGACAAATATTAAGTTTTAATGGGAGCTCATTAATTTCTGAAAAAATTTTCAGTTAAGAAGAAGAAGGAGAAGAAGCAATAAAAATATTATAATTGCTTCAAAATGGGAGAAACAAGATCGGCGGCGAAAACCTTGTCAATCGTTATTTGTAATCTTTGTTTAGTGAAAATTGGCAACCATATCGCAAGCAACATATTGTTTAACGACAACCAAAAAAGGTATGTATGTACACAAAGAAGTAGGAAACTATTTACAAATAAAAACACTTTAATTTTAATTATCAATAAAGAAGCCAGCAATTTTTTAAGCCAATAAAAGTAAACAAGAAACACTGAAAATTTCCTGAACATTTGAAAATTGTCGTTGAAATTAGGCTACTACTAGCATGTGAAAATTGGCAACAATGCAAATTTAAGAAACAGTGTTTTTGCCTTAGCACTACGAAATATTTAAATTTTCCAGCTTTTGAGCTCCCTCTAGTTGGCATTCAAGCTCAAAACGTAGTTGTAGCGTACTCTAGTTCACTGCATTATGAGTAACACAGAAATCACTTGGGCACTTTAGATGTACACGTACATAGCTGCACTTATTTTCCATGCAGTTATTTACATGTTTTGCTTTCCCCTTTTATTCTTTCCCCCCTTCTTATGAACCGCGTTGGGCGAGGAATTTTCTCACGCTCACGCGTCGCAACAATCCAACATAATTCAATTTCAATTTCCTGAGTATTACTTTAAATATCCGCGGAACACACTCACACACATAGCCACACTTGCACTCAAGCATCGTCACCACCAACACATATATATAATAACCTTGCTTGCAGCACTGGATTATAAGTAATGCATCAGTTCTCCATTCAGTCCATCAGTCCATCAGTCCATCAGCCATGCAGTAGTCAAGCAGCCAGTCAGTCAGTCAGTCAGTCAGTCAGTCAGTCAGGCAGCCAGCTAGCAGTCCATCTGTACGTGTGTTTGGGTATCCGTTAGTCTAGCGAAGCTTAGTGTGTCAATGTCAGCACTGGACAGCGAAACAAATAGCGGTTGAATGGGAATGAATGGATGCGGCTGAGGCACTAAGCTGGTGAATAGATGGGGGAAGATCGGTGAACGAATGGGAGAGGGTTGGCAGAAGAAAAATAAAATAAAAATGGAATAAAGAGGAAATTGCTGGCTGATTTATAAATTCCATATAGAACAAGAAGATTTGAATGAAGTCTGGGCAAAGGGAAGGGTGAGATTGACTTAAGAAGCTAAGTGAGACGAGATTTTAAAATAAGCCGGAAAGAACCACACAAAAATCACATCATGCGAATGTGGTAGCTATGTAAAAGAAGAAGTCAAAATAGAAGAAATTGAGAACAATATAGTAGGGAAATGGAAACAGAATGGAAAATAATCACAAAGTCGAGAGGTTACGTAATCTACAGTACTTGTGGATCATATTTCGCAGACGGAATCGGGTTTGTTAAAAGAAGCAGGCACCAGTGAAGTTTGGGGCTGCTCCATTATACCCGAAGGACTACCGAAAACTTATCATCAAAATGGACTGTAGTTAAGATGAGGCTAAAATCAATATCTGCAGTTGAATCTGTCATAGAGACATGAACCCCCCACAAATACAGGTCTACAACAGAGAGTTAACAACGGACATAAAACTGACTCCTGAGCTGGAGATTCAGCCGGTAGTTTTACACCCTCAAGTTTATAAGAGCTCTGTTAACAACCGAATGAGCTCTGTTAGCACCCAGACCGCTGATTGTAAAGTATTTACTGTACAAATTTTATAGTCCTCAGCTCCAGAGACTCAAATGGCTCAGATAATGCTGGTTGAAGCTTCAAGTTTTTGTAGTGTAACTTTAAGCTTTTGGAGGAGGACTCCAAGAATCTTCCGCGGGAGATCAAGCCAAGTTGACCAAATGTCCCGAATATATTCAAACCAGAGCTACTTCCATGTGATAACTTGCTTCTACGCGCAAATCTACGTATTAAAATGGAAAAAGCACAACAAACTTGCCTTCCCAAAGACACATCAATTCAACTAAGCTGGGACCAAAAAAAAAAACCAACATACAAACGTTCGCCAAAGACATAATCACAGCGCACTTGGGGACTTTATTTACTGGTTTGGTGTCAGCACGTGCCAAAGAATCCACAAAATGGGCTGAAAAATCGTAAAACGAAAAAAAAACGACAAAAGGCAGTTGAAAAAAATACTGCGAGCGCAGAGACTAGTGAATCACACAGTCAGTCACGAGCTGCGCATCGACCGCCTACCATCTTAGT